AGAGAGAGAGAGAGAGAGAGAGAGAGAGAGAGAGAGAGAGAGAGAGAGAGAGGCGTAACCGTTAAGTTAAACAATGCAGTATTCTGTACAGCAATAATCACAGTAGCGTGTACATATTTATGGTAGAACTTTTAATACCGAAGAAACGTGAGTGTGTAAATTATGGCATTACGAGTAAGTCGATGTATTGATATTGATTGGAGAGAAAGAAGGGCAGAGTATAAACGTTTAACGAAGGAAATTCAGTATTATTATTAATAACTGTCTCCTATTGACAGATGTATTCACTTAAGCGTCACGACGAGCTGTACGAGATTGTTCTAAGATTAAATGTACCGCAATACACGTATAAGTCTGTATAGAAAACTATTAATCTCTCTTCTTCATAGAGATATCGAAATTCTGTTTAGTTTTGTAAGGATTGTTTTATCCAATATGTTGTATCACTTCGATGTAAATAGCACGTTGTACATAAGCACTGTATGTAATCCAAGTCGTTGTTAATTAATAAAAGAATATCCGTGACATTAATATATGATAGTGTGCTTGTTCACTTGACTCACAATTCGTTGATCAACCAATAAAATTGTCGGTTATTAATAGGTACTAATTCGTACTTATATAATAAAATATCTTTATTATCTTTATTATCGCATTTATTTGTATTGTACGCGTATATTGAGAACGGAGTTGGTATTTTTATATATGATATTGATTTTTATGATTTTAAAATATTGTCTGGAAGAAAGTAAGGCTTGCTATTTCTTCTTAAATACAGAATCGATCTTGTTCTTTATTTCATGAACGTCGTCCGTCCTCCTCTTGTCGCTGCGCTGCTAAATCACTGAAAGCCGATTACGTGGCAATAGATTAATTTCTGACCACTCGGAGACTACTCCCCCTAACATCGGATTCGCTGGTATCAAATTGATTGTTACTTTTTGTTATACTTTGGTAAAAACAGTATACGAGACATCAACGGTGTCTGGTACCCAAAAATTCATTTCTAATCAGAATTGAAGCACTAAAGAGGATTTTCATTTATAAAAATAATTTGCTTTTACAATTCCACGTCAGTCATACTTTAAATACGTTAACCTTCGGCAAATATTAAGCATTAAATTGTAAGTTACAATTTTAATGAAGAGGTAATTGAAATTTTATTTTTTTATATATTTAATATGAGAGGAAACGTTGTAATAACGTGCATAATATGGTGATATATAATTTAGTATAACTGATATATAAAGTAATGAAGAGAGAGTAATTTCTCTCTTATTGCGTATATGAAAAGGTAATATATAAATTTATATATCGACTTGTTGAATCGTATTGTTTCAACATACGTATAGAAAATACGTCGTTGATTCTCTCAGAAACAACTGATTTCTCAGACTTCTCTCGCGAGTGAGAAAGCTACCGCGCAAAATCCCCTAAACGGGTAACGTTAAGCTCGTCGAAACCGCAGTCAATACGACAAACAATCTCTTACCGCCCTCACTCTGGCTTAAGCTCTCCCCTTCACTACCCCCGAAGTAAGTGTACTTACCCTCTGCCCGAGGTCTATAAAGATAAATAACACGGGGCACCCGGATGGTACCTTGGCGCTAGTTATATCCCTTACCGAACGACAAAGAGCTTCTTTCTTCATTTTCTGTCTTTCTCGAGCTTTTTACAGCAAAAAAATTCTTTGTTTTATTTTCATTACACTTATTTTTACTTCGCGTTCTCTTTGAGATTTGCAGTTACACATCGATTTCAGAGATGTCTTCTATCTTGTCTAACATTTCGCATTATTATAAGCATGTCGATTGAATTTAAAGTGGTATTAAATAATTATTTAACGAATTATGATTATGATTGTAAAAGATCGCAGTTGTAAAAAATAAATAATAATAATCGATGATTGAAAAATGTTAAACAATCCGTACATTGTATTGTCAGCTGGAACAGGTGGTATGAGACAATGAAACAAAGACACTACGAGATCATAGGGTTCTTGCGTATCCGTTTAAATCGAGCACCCTGCATCCATCTTCATCCCCCGCGATCTCAGCCGGCCGTTCTTTTCCCACCCTTGTTAGCGATACTTCCCGTGGAGAATCGCGCGCATGCTTGTTCTGTCAATGAAATAATGACAATGTCATAGCCCGGGGTCGATTCGCCATGGCATCCTTGCCACGTAGGCGACGATTGGACGCGGATATGCTAATACGACGTCCGTTCCGAAACATTAAGTTCTCGGTTTGCTGATTCTCGCGAGAGTATCTACGTCTTGATATCGTCTATGTCGCCTGCCACTATTGTGTCTTCAATCACCGGATACACGTTTTTTTTTAGGGGAGTTCTACGGTCTCTTTGCAAAGAAAGATGTGAGTCACTACTTGCGTTTGTAACATGATCCTTCCTTAGTTCTAACGATTGTAATCGTAATACCAACTGATTATTCGATTATTTGGTCATAACAACTTTGTTATTTTTTTTAAAATATGTTTTATTTCTTTTTGTTCTACAGAGTTGCTACAAACAGTTTTATCAAATGTATTCTTGAAAAATCTTTTTAATTTTGTGCAACAGTTTGAATTTAAAGAGGTTATTATTAGCGCTACTTTCTCTTACTAAGAGGTATTAGCGCTACTTTCTCAATAATCATTTTAATAATAAAATCGTTTAAAATGACAAAAACTATAATTTTGCAGCAATATCAATAAAATAAGATTTTTAAATGTCACAATTGTTCTTGTGTCTCAATCGATTTTTAAATGTAATCGTTCTTTATTTCGAAATTTATCAAATATTTTAAAGGTCACAAAAGTTGTAAGGATCTCATTTTGATATAAATACAAAAATATAAGAAAAAATATATAAATATGAAATATAGTCGTTATTGTACTCAATAAATAATCAGTTTAATTTAATTTGAATTTTATGTAAGTATGTAGAAGTGTGTATTATAAAGTTATTTCAAATTTAGCATTAACTTATCATGTATATAATGTTGCCATATTTCATATATTGTCGTTTTACATACAAATATGTTAAATTAAAAGAAATTTGTCATTATAAAGTTTTCTGCACATGCTTGCACAGTATAAGTTCATAATGAAGTGTCTCGGAAAGGATACGACAAAGATTATTGAAATTTCTGTTATGCATTGTTAGTTCGTTTAGCTCGTGCATTGGGTACGCATTATACATTTATTTTTTCTTTAATTAGATGTTGAAGATGTTAGAATCTTCATAACCTTTTGCAACGGTGTTAAATTATATGTCAACTTTCAGAAATAATTACGTTTTGCACAAATTGCCTAATTCATTCGTCCTTTTCGTTCCTGTTTCGAGTCAACTCATACATTTTCGCAATAATTCTGATTAATACCATATATACGATTTATGAATTTAACAACTTTCTAAATTTAAAATTATCAATTCCACGTCGGTTTTTACGAATTAAATGCTTGTATGTCCAATATCATCGGCCACCCCGATTCTCGTTTCGTCACGGTCTTCTGATACGATTATGTAACTTGACTGCGAACACACAGCTTATATTGGTCTCACGATGCAGCCCGTTACAAACGTCCCATTCTCAACCAGGCGTCGCTAAATGATTTTGCTCGCGCGGGCTAGCGCTTTTCTAGGGCATATGCCGCGATTTACTAGCAAAGTTTCGCACGTACATTTGGCACACTAATAACGTTCACGAGATCTTCATATCGATTCAGATCCCAAAGCGCCCATTGTTATTTTCACGACTCCTCGTTCTGCATTTTCCCTTGACTTGATTTTTTTTTGAAGTGAAGAAATTGTAGATTTCCGAGATTTCTGTTTGAATGTTTTCCTCATCGTATTTTCTTCCATTTCGAGTTATAGTCTTATTTTATAACAAGATAACGTTTGATGAAAAACATGTGAAATAAATTGATATATAGGGTTCCCCATTTTAAAAGATACACCCTGATAATTTTTCAGTCAAGCATATTCAGCAAAAATGTTTCAGACAAAAGTTATATAGTTCGATAAAAGTTATATAATTCGATAGAGGACATAAGAGGGTATCATTAGTTTGACCTTGCGTGGCGCCGCCAACGTCAGGTCGAGGTCAACTTTGTTTTTTTAAATAAAAACATGTATTTTTTATTACGGAATTTTATTTTACATAAAGAAAAAATAACTTTTGTTTGAAAATATTTTTTATACGATCTCTATTTTCTAAGATATTTACGGAAATTTCTACAAAATTATTGGTTTTAATAATTTTTTACTCGAATTCTATCAACTTTACCGAAAAATAGTAAGAGATAAAAATTGTTAATTTTTTCTTGTAGAGTTCTGAGAATTTTTTCAGAATTTTTAAATTAAATTTTTAGTATTTCAAGGAAATGCAAGAAAATGCAGTACTAAAAAGTTTTACGTAGAATAAAATTTCGTAATAAAAAAATATATATTTCTATTTAAAAAAACAAAGTTGACCTCGACCTGACGTTGGTGGCGCTACGCAAGGTCAAACCAATGATACC